AGCAATCAACAGTCCAACCCAACTATGAACCACAACAACGACCAGCATGGCATGATAACCCACAGCCTTGGTGATAACCAAAAGTTCTCTAAATGAACTTAAGATCCATACAACAAGAATGAAACCATTCCTGGCACTGGAAACTTAGCCAACTACCCAGGACTAGTGACGTCACGGAGCATAATCCATAACTACATTCTAAATATTTGTCCTTGAACCCACAGATAAGTGTACTCCTCACCCCTCATCATGGAAACTTCCCTTTGCAACAGCTGGAGACCATTACAGAAAAACCATAATCAATCAAAATGCAGAGTTGTGGATCCCAGTCCCAATGGAGACATCTGCAAAACAATTCCTGCATCTAAGGCTCAGAAGAGGGGGCAGGAAGACTGTAAGAGTCAGCAGATCAGGGAGTCTGCTTTGAGATTGTGTCTCCTAGGAATCTCAAAGTCTACAGCCATAAGTCTCACCAACACAACTGTCCAAAGATGAGCTGACCGAGGACACCAAGATACATGGCGAAAGACCATGGGGCCTCAGCCTTAAACAAAAAACTACAGGCAATTGAGGAATGCTGAGAGCGAGAAAAATAGTCTTCCCCAGGTTAAGAGTACACCAATTGGTTATCCAATGCCAAGTGATCAGCTCTGAAAACATACATACAAGTGACATTATACAGATCGAGCAAGTTTATTTAGGAATACATATGTATGTACATACACATATATGCATGAAGCAATAATTAATGAAAAAAGAGAGCATAAATTTGCAGGAGAGCAAGGAGGAGTATATGGGAGGGCTTGGTGGGAAATGCTGTAATTATATTATAATCTCAAAAAACAAAAAAAGTAATTAAAAAGATGAGGACTCAAAGTTAGATGGGTATTGTATGGGGAATGGATCTGAAAGGAGCTGGAGGATGGGAGTAAATATGATAAAAATGTAATGCACAGGGCTGGAGAGATGGCTCAGCGGTTAAGATCACTGGTTGTTCTTCCAGAGGTCCTGAGTTCAATTCCCAGCAACCACATGGTGGCTCACAACCATCTGTGATGAGACCTGGTGCCCTCTTCTGGCCTGCAAGCATGCATGTAGGCAGAACACTGTATACATAATAAATAAATAAATCTTAAAAAAAAAAGAAAAATGATTTGGAGAATTAAAAAAAATCATTAAAAAATGTAATGCATAAAAATCTCAAAATAAAAAATTTAAATGAAATGAAAAAAAATGAGGGACTGTCAAGGGTGGGGAGACAGCTCAGTCAGGAAAGCACTTGCCATCAAGGCATGAGGACTTGAATTCAGATTCCCCAGGATACATAAAAGGGATACATCTGTATTACCAGTGCTGGGGAAGTGGAGACAGGAGAATCTCTGTGAGTTCCAGGTTCAATGAGAGACCCTGTATCAAAACAATGTGGAAAATGATTCCAAAAGATGTACATTGACTTTTGGCCTCCAGATACAAGGATACACATATGTAGGCAAGAACCAACACATACCCAAATACATGCTCATACACATACACACACACACACACACACACACACACACACACACACACACACATACACACACACACACACACACCACAAAGGAGACTTCTCAGTTCTCTGCTGATTTGCAGTCTCGAAATTTCATACATCCTCGTGGTAACAGTATTTACATATTTTGATCACTACCTAAATATATTGTTTATAAAATAACTAATTTCTTTCTGTTATATACCATTCATAGTTTAAAAGTTAAATCTTCCCAGTCCCATACCCACTAAATAAGAGAATTACCTAAAAATGATGGTATCTCTATCTTTTTGGTCATGTTATAATTTCCAAATTAAGTATAGATTATATGATAGTCAAATATTATTTATTGAACTGCGTTCTGTGTATTGTAGACCACTCACATAAAATTACCCCACAAATACATGATGAAGGCATGTGATCATTAAATCTTCGCTCCATGTTACACCCACTCTGTAACATACACCTGGCTAGAGCACAGTCACTCAGTCTTTGTTTTGAATCCATATTCAAGTCACATGACTAAAACTGGAGCAAACACCTCCATCCTAAGGTAGAATTTGGCTCAGTGCAAATCTTCGAAGGCAGTAAGACGAGCTGACCCTGGAAGAACCCCATGGCTGGTTTTCCAGCCCTCTTTAGAGCTTTTGTAACTTAGTATGTGGCACTTGATTAAAGACTTTAGAAGAGCGTGTGGGGAAATGTGATATTCTAGTAGGAATATGTGCTAATAAAAATTTATGGGGGCCTTATGCATATTCATCATCTAATTCTGAAAGATAGCTGCCGGGAAGTCTCGATTAACCTCATTACAGAGATGAAATTGGTTCTGAGGGCCACGTGCTTCTAGTAACCGGATCCCATGAACTCAAGTCAGGAACTTATTATACGACCTCATTCATTCATTATCACAAGGGATCTGTCAATAATAAAAAGAAATGAACAACTGACATATGGTAGAGTTTTCATGGACAGAAACAGAAAGTGGCAGATAACCAGATCAGGAGGGCTCAGAGCACCCTAGACTCTCACCACTAGCATTTGTGTGTTGCCCTGATGTGTGCCCCTGGCACAGAGTGCCTGAGTGTGAGTGTGTATGGAGTGTAGCCAGACCACTGCACACCTCTCAGGCCCTGTCTGCTTTAAACTTTAATAAGGAGCTCCTGTATTACAACCTTGCCAGGTGGCCTCAGAGGTACTTTATATCTTGTTTTGTTTGGAAGAATCTTACCTAGTGACAGAATTATTACCATTTGCCTAACAGATGTTTCTTTAAAAAAAAAATGTAAGTTGAATTGATTCACCATAGCAGAAGAAAATAGAGAAAAACTCCATTTTTAATAGAATTCCATTTTTATTAAGATCATTTTAGTAACTTAGCTCTGTTAGCCACCGGAAGGGCTTCCGTAAAGTGAGCACAAAAACATACCAAGACCCAACGCCTTTATAACCCAGATTGGCTCTTCCTGAATTCATCTACAGATGGCTTATCTGTGTTTGCTTTGCTTTGTTGTTGTTAAAATTATTTGCTTCAAGAAACGTTTCTAAAAATATTAAAGACATGATCTGTATGTACAGCTTTAACATGGACAAAAGAGTCACATGAGAGCCTGAAAGTTGTCATCCAGCTGGCCAAAAATTTAACACACGAAGCCCAGACCCAGTGTCACACTGAATTATAACTTTCTCTGAAGATGCTTTCAGCCTTCTTCCCCACCCCAGCCCAGGCTGAGTCCAGCACTCTGCTGGGTTCACACATGTGAGTGGATGGGCATTGACTCATAGCTGGTCACATTTTAAAGTGTACCGACACAGTCTCTGCTAAAGAGCATCATATTAAGTATGATGATAGGTGTGCCCAACCTTTTAACATGGTGACATGGGGTTGCATCTACAAAGTTCATGCATGAGACACAGGCAATCAAGCTAAAAAAAAATCATGTGTACTCGCACGTACGTGCACACACTCAGTGTTTTGAGTCAGTTTATAATGTGTTGGGCTGCACTCATAGCTATCCGTGGCCCCATGTCAAACACATGCTCATCTTCTATTCTTAACTAATCAGAGAAACTTTTGCTCTTTGGAGTCAAATAACCCCGTGGTTACAGCTACACAAGTTTCTGGTGCTGCCGATAAGTCAGAGGGAAATTATTCCAGGAAGCTCCACTAGCTGAAACTAAATTCATTTCTTTTATATTTTCCCCCTGTGAGGTTTACAGATGTAAATCTCTCCAAGATTCCAGGATGCTGCTCCAAATCTCATATCATTGCACATGTAATACCCACAAGCCTCTTATGAATGTGTGGAAAGAGAAAAAGAGGGAGAGATGTAGGAGAGACAGAAAACAAGAGATCTAGGTGAGATGAGCCGATCAAAACCAGGCTCAGGTCCTCAGGTCAAAGAGTGCACTCTGCTGCTGGCCTGCTCTCTGTTCCTGTGGCTGACAGGAAAGGGCGCCTCGGCATGCTGAGACTCTCCCTTTCCTCACAGAGGTCTGTTCAGCCTCTCTGAATTTTCCAAGATCCTCCAAAGGTGTAGCTGGCTTTTGTTTGTTTGCTTTGTTTTGATTTGTTTTATTTTGTTTTGTTTGATAACAGTAACAAGATGCCCAAGGTAGTTTGGTTGAATAACATGCAGTTAAATCTGTATTCATAAATTACTCTTTTCTACTGACGTGTGTTAATTATTTTCCCTTTGTTGTGACAAAATGCCCTACAGAAGCCACTTAAGGAGGGCAGATTTACAGCCTGGGTTGTTTGGATCACAGTTTGAGGAGACAGATACCTTCCGTGGAGGACAGAGGGAAGAAGGGGCTTGTCACATTGTATCTACAGTGTGGATCAATCAGGAAGCACAAAGAGTTGGATAGTTGTATTCAGCTTAAATTCTTTTTTTTATTCAGTCCGGCACCCCAGCCAAGGGTCAGGTGCCACCTACATTCCATGTGGTTACTACCTCCTGAGTTAGACCTTTCTGGAAACACTATCATAGACCCACCCACGGGTGTGTTTCCATGGTGAGTCTAAATCCAATCAAATCAACACGATTAACCATCACAATATGTTATAGTAATATCTTATATTATGTGGGCAGACAGAACTCAGGAAGGTTTGCACTCTGAGCCCCTGGACAAGTGTGTTTGAGAGGAGATAATAAGACCTACCACTTTTAGCTACAGCAAAAAGTACTACTTGCTTTTTCTACATACGTGATGAGATTGTTACAGCAAACCAACACATTCATAATTAGATATTAATCAACAGCTAAGTAATTTATAGGTGAGTTACTTAGGAAAACTTTGTCTAGGAAGCCCCAGCACTACTTTAATCAGTGTGCAACCTCTCTGATCTTGGGAGGCATTAGTTTGAATATATCAACATGAACCGCCATGTTTACCTCACAGATAAAGTTAGGTTGGCTGCTGTCTTCTTAGTGCTCCCCTTGGTGATAGTCCGTCTTGCTCTTCGCAGTGCTCCTATATTCCTAAGTGTGGAAACAACTTTGAAGAGTCCATGTCCCTGGTGAGTGTCGTCATGGAAAACTTCAGGAGACACCAACACTTCCCCTGCTATTCTGACCCGGAAGGAAACCAGAAGAGTGTCATCCTGACCAAACTCTACAGCTCCAATGTGCTGTTCCATTCTCTCTTCTGGCCGACTTGTATGATGGCTGGGGGCGTGGCGATTGTTGCCATGGTGAAACTCACTCAGTACCTCTCCCTGCTCTGTGAGAGGATCCAACGGATCAATAGATAAAAGAAAAAAAATCATGGATAAGATATTTTCTTTAAAGCTCAAATACTGTTTTCTTTCATTCTTCACCAAAGAACCTTAAGTTTTCAATGTGCAGTCTGTTTTGGGTTCCTTACTGTATTATTCTAAGTAGAGCAATAATGCAAATGCAAACATGATGTCCTTATTATTCAGGAGAATTAACTGTTCTTTGTCAGTCGGTTGTTTCATTATCTTGTTTTGATGCTGGAACTAGTCCAGTCCTCTTTCCACCAGGACAGGGCTCAGCTGCTCATTGCTAAGTCTTGTGGGAAAATGGAGGCACTGTCCACATGACAAGGTCTGCACTCTGAATTTCCAGACCTCTTGAAGACCAGATTTTTCTTCATTTGTTGTTTACTAACGCTACAGCCAAAAACATGCTTTTCTTTTCTTATTCTGCATTGAGCCCTGTAGCAAGTGACGGGGTGGTTTCCTGACTAAAGGGTGTTAAACTTTTCGTTAGTCTGTTTTCTATTTTTACATATTACTGTAATGAAGAGAGGAGGCCAGCTACTTTTCTTTCATTCCTTTTTATTCACAACTTCAGATTTTTAAAATGATCTCCAGGTCTATAATGTCTTCCAAACAGAGCCCCTCTCCATCTATGACCCTGCTACTGTGCGGGAGACAAAGCTGGTGAGTTCATTCCCAGTGAACTGACTGGGTGTTGGTAGGTATTCCATCGCAATGTGGGACAGTCTATGCTGCAAGGACACTTATGTGACATCCTAACTCCATTTCCACTGGACGGTTAGAGGCAAACATTAATATGCTAAAGACTCATGGATTCGTTGCAATGGGTGAGTCTGTTACAGCAAATTATCATGTTGGACTATTACTCTGTGGTAATTTATGTTTCAGTGAATGAATGTGTAGTCTCTCCTGAAAAATGTTGCCTGTTGGAGTTTAAAAGCTATGTATGCAGAATCTTTGTCTCCTCTACATATTTTATTTTTCTATTCACGATTCCCTTTTGGTTGTTATATTTTATATGCAGAATAGACCTTTTTCCTAACACACATTTGAATCGAATAACAGGTTTAAAGGAAGCCTTTCTTCACGTTGATGTTTACTCATTCTATTTGCCGGGGGGAGGAGGGGTTGGTTTTAAATAAAGGCATTCCATCTTTTATTTAATATCAATATCTAAAGGAGAAGACAAACATCTCTCTTTCTCATCTATATTTAAGTACCCTTTTGTAACATAGTATTGATGTTTTTTAGGTAATTGCAAAATTTTACAAATCATTTGTGGAATGAATGGTGAAACCAATGAGGAAGCAGAATGTTGTGATTCATAGTCTGACTTTTCATAAGCAAATAAATGCCTAGGGTATAATCAGGACTTCAAATGTGTAAGGAAAATGTTTTAAGACCCACTCGATCACAAGATTTGAATACTTTTTACATTCAGCACACACATACCTGTAGCAGTCCAAACAATTCTGATCTACTATACTTGAAGACATTTTAAGACACTGTAAAGAAAATCCCTTTTTCTGACACTTAAACAATACATGTAATGTTGTAAACATTTGGAAAACACCCACAGAAAATTACTTATTTCTATTCTTTCTTTAAAATGTGTTTGTCAAGATGGGAGAGGAATCTTAGGGACTATGGGGCTGAAGTTTGCACTCTTAAATGTTCCCTAGGCTTCCCTTCAAGTGATCCAAGGGTGAAACAGATATGATAACATTATGACATGTATTATTTTTATCTTCTTTAGATTGTTTTCACTAAAAGTTCCCAACCGAGGCCTGGGGCTGTGTTTCAAAAGTAAAGTGTTTACATCACATGCATGATACTCTAGGGTCAATCCCCAATACTGAAGAAAAGAGGAAAACCTCCCAACTGTTGGTTAGTTAAGAATGCAGAAAACTTTAAAAAAGAGGAGGGGGGCCATCAAAAGATGATAACTAGGACCTTCTTGGATGTCAATCTAGCAACACCTTTAAACTACCTTAGATGAGAACACAACTGGACGTTTGCTATCAAAGAGAAAGACCCAGAACTAATAACATGTTAGATGCTTTGCATGTGTTAACTAATTTGCTCTTCACAACGTCTCTATTGAGGACCGTCATTAATTACCTCAGCCTACAGATGTTAAATCACCTCCCTCAAAATTATCGTCATCGTGGAAAGCAAAGAAAAGGCCCACCTGGTAGTTTTCCAGTTATGGAAGTCACTACTGTGGCTTTGACATCTTTCTAATTGACTCCGAGAAATTCTGAGGTCTAGAAGGGATCATGGAAATGACAAAGAAAGAGAACTGAATGGGAAGACTTTGATCAAGAGATGGTGAGGAGGGGGCTACTAAGAAAGTCAGTTATCTTCTTGGCTGTATGTAGATGTCAGACTATCAGATAAATCTAGGAGTCCTTTGTAACACTAGCATTCTAAGGGCCAGTGAGTTGGCAAGCAGGGAAAACCACTTGCCAGCCAGCCTGAAGACCTGAGTTCAATACCTGAGACCCACATGCTGGAAGGAAAGAAATCTACTTCACAAGTTGTTCTCTGACCTATACACATGAACATCATAACACACACATTTGTGCACACACAAAATAAATAAAAACATAGTAAGACTAGAATTTCATGCTATGTGTGTGTGAAGAAGACCAACACTGACCTACAGGGGACATTCTGATGCTCAAATAGAATCTATGCATATTAATCTATGGTTTAAGAGAACAGCCTCCCTCTGACACTCCCAGTAAGCCACTTGTCTTTTTAGGACCCAAAGTCTTATTCACACTGGCAACAGCAGACCGCGGTTTCCACATTACTTAAAGAGAATGATTTCCCCAAATGCTACAAATGTCTATGTGTCCAAATCACTTTCATTATCCAATTGGCACATCCCATCTAAAACTTTATTGATTTCAGATTGCCTGAGTTGCAATTGTATTAAAACCCAGGAATGATAAATATATCAATGACTGCTTGCAAATAGCTATAATAAAAAGATATGGTTCCATGGAAAGCTACCAGCAAAGTACCCGCTGATGCTAATGTGTGGGCATCGTAAATACCTCTATGCAGGCTGGGTGACAGCCAGAGTTTCAGCACACTGTCCTTCCCGTTGCTGCAAATGGCCAAAGAATACTTACACGTGACATTTATAAAACAAACGTTGTTTCCACAATGTTGTGCTATAAACAGCTCACTGCATTCCTGGGGGTAAAACATGTTGAGTGTAATTGTTATGTTGACGTTAACAGAGAGAAAAGTGAGATGAGCAATTGACTGAAGTGAGTTTAGACAATAACTTTAACTCCAAGTATAGTTACAATTCTCCATCCCCGACACAAACACTGAACTAAACAATGTTCAAGGAGGTCGGGTAACTCTCACTGTCCTCCTAAGAAAGAAGGCATGATTAAAAGTCGAATGCCATTCCTTTTCTTAAACACTTGGGGTTTTGTTTTAGATTTATTTATTTTTATTTTATGCATATGGATGTTTATCCTGCATGTGTATCTGTGCACCTTATGTGTACCTGGAGGTAAGAGGAAGGAGTCAGATCCCCTGAGACTGGATTACAGATGGTTATGAGCTGCCATGTGGGTGCTGGGAATTGAACCTGGGTCCTCTGGAAGAGCAGCCAGTGCTGTTAACTGCTGAGCCTTCTCTGAGACCCCCTTTCTTTCTCCACTCATTTCCCATTTCCTCTTGCGTAGGAAGTTGGCCAGAAAAATCTCACAGTTCTGCCATAACCCTTCCAACGTGTACACCACATGGAAATTTGGCTTGAATGGCCTTGCTTCAGGATTCCTCTGAAAAAAGTGTCAGTGTGGCAGGAGAGTACCAGGCACCACGTGGTGCACATATATATGCAAAGCTAAACAACTATATACACAAAAATAAAAATAAATAGACCTTTAAAAGCAAATTCAATTTATCAGAACTCATGCTAACACATGACTCCCTTCCTAGCATCCTTGATGAGGGCCGTCCAGTGACAAGGATAGCCACTGTATTGGCTACCACAGTGAAATACTTCGAGATGGGGTACTTGTGCAAAAAGGTTTACTGAGTGCATAGTTTTGGATGCTCCAGATTGGAGGACTTTTTGCTTTGTGCCTAGGTGGCAGTGTTAGGATAACATGTGTGTGGCCACCTATGAGGCAGGAATCAGAAAAAAAGACTAAGACTTGGTCCCACAGTCCCTTTGAAGGCATACCCTTGATGACCTAAGGGCTCTCCATTAGAATCCATAGCACTTCCCAGTGCTTCTCCTCTGGATGGATCCAAACCGTGAGAGTTACCACCTGAAATACAGCTGCTTGTAAGAAAGGTCATCAGTTAATGCTAGAAATTTGCCTCCCAGGAACATATACTAAAACTACAAAATAAAACCAGTCCTCCCACTATTGACTTACTTTACTAGTGTGATTTTATTGAAAAATGATGAAAGGATTGTGAAAGCACAATTTCTATCAGTTTGGAATGAAAGTCAACAGAAATATATCTGTCCAGCCAGAATTATTGGCATAAATGGAAACTTGTGCAGGAAGCATGAACAATATAGGTTTCAAATGGTTGGAGGTAGACCCATAATAACCTAACGTTCATGGGTGAAATCATGGGTGAGCCAGCTAAGTAAGATATCATGTGAATTCTGGTCCCAAACCACCTGTCAAGTAGACTTGATCTCCTAGAAGGTAATACCTTCTGAAAATCTACAGTGTTCTTATTCGGCCCTCTGACAGCCAGAGGGAAGTCACTGAAGGGCACAGAACAGCTCCTAGCAAAACTTTCCTACGGCTGCCTTGCGTTTGCCTTGGCTAAGGCATCAGTCTCTGAGGAAACTGTCAAGAAACTGTCAAGCTGCCGATTCCAGGTGTGGCTAGACATTCCATGCACATAGAAAGAGGAATTTTTCTCTCAAATAATATAATTTATTAGTTGAGCTTTGAAAACTATTCTTTAATTTAGCCTAATGTGATTCCCCTAAGCTCTTAAAAACTACATTCTGACTTGTCAATGTAGCTACAGAAGGACATGAAGAAGGCTTCAATAGCCCTTACACAAGCCCATCAACTGTTGGCAATATCTGAAATTTCTTCAAGCAGTCCTCCTTCTCCCTCTCCCTCTCTCCCTCTCCCTCTCTCCCTCTCTCCCTCACTCTCTCTCCCTCTATCCCTCCCCTTCCCCTTCCCTCTCCCCTTACCTCTCTGTGCCCCTCCATTATTCTTCTCATGGTTACATTCTTCTCTGGGTTGCATCCTTATTCTCCATGGTTATCAGCAAAGATGATTTGTGGTTCTTGTTCATATAATCTGTATGTTTTTAATCACAGAAGTAAAACCCAACACTAATATCAGACCTCAAAAAAAAAAAAAAGCATGTCATCTTTTGAGCATGTGTCCACTACTAGGATAGCCAATATAGGGTGGTGAACGTTTACTGTCCAGATTGCAGAGCCCAGCATGGCCACTCTGTAATCATAGGGGCAAGGCATGTGGTTGAAGTTGCGCTAGATGAGAATTAACTCATTCTCTAAAGAAAAGTCGGTATGTAGTGGTTGGGCATGTGGGTCAATTGACAGAGTACTTTCCTAGCATGCACAAAGACTTGGGTTCCATATATTGGGTGTGGTTCTGTACATCTGCAATCCCAGCACTCAGAAGATGAAGGCAGGGGGATCCAGTTCAGGTCATTCTCAGCCATACAGCAAGTTTGAGGTCAGCCTGGGACACATGAGACTATGTCTCAAACTTTAAAAAGAAAACCTAGTGTGTGGTAAATACCTGCTCTGTGGTAAAGAACAGAAAAAGGAAGAAAGAATGCCGGGCAAGTGAGATCAGCAGATGTCTACTGCAGGCAGGTGGAATAAACAGTACCACATGCTTCTTCCAGCATTTCCACTGAAGAAAGAGTTTCCACGCTGAAGACAAGAACAAGTGTTGCTGAGAAAGAAAACGGGGAGGAGCAGGTGCTCAGAATGCTCTCTGCAACATGCATAGCACTTCCTCAATTTTCTCATGCAATTCCAAAAGGGAAGAATTGCTTCTGGTTTTCACAAAATGCAGAGGTACTGGGTTTTGCTGAACACAAGATGCTCACTTAGAGAAAAGTAGATGGCCTGCTGTTGGCACAATAAGAGCTGGTGGGAAACAGAAACAAGGTTAAAAGAAGACCAATAATATCTGTGGAAAGAGTATTGGGAACTCTTGTTGACAAATGCTGTGTCAACAAATACTGACATTCATCAGACACTGAGGACCTGACTTACTTCTCCTAGAAGGCTTACCTTCTGGGGGCCTGGAATGGCTATACTGCATGCTTACCGTGGAGTAAATTAATGTGAGAATCCCATGAATAGGTGAGGTAGGT